CTTCAGCAGAAGCTAGATTTCAGGGCATTGTGGAAGGAGCAGATGAAGAAAGCATGAATATTGTAAGTGTAAACAAGTCATTAAGCATTTGAGAATGAGAAGGACACTGAGTCTGGGCTCAGAGGAACCAAGAGATCTCCATAAAATTTTGTGTCTAATGCTTACTGACTGTATGATCTTAGAAGGCAGTATGGATAGAGTATTGGCCTCAAACCCAGAAAGAGCTGGGTTCAGGTCCTACTCTGATATATACTGTCTATGTGACCCTGGACAAGTCATTTAACTAACTCTTAGCTCTCCAGGCAATTCTCTAAGACTACAAATTGCAGAGAAGGTACAGATTGGTACTGGGAGAGAGTTCCTTACCGGCAACTCCCAGCAAAGATAAAATTACAAGTCTGGTCAAGTCAGTAAGTACTTATTAAATGCTTGCTATGTGCCAGGCAGGCACTGTGCTAAGTACTAGGGATACAAATACAATTTTTAAAAATACATAATGAGGGGCAGCTAGGTGGTGCAGTGGATAGGGCACTGGCCCTGAAGTCAGGATGGACCTGAGTTCAAACACGGCCTCAGACCAAACACTTGACACTAACTGTGTGACCACGAGCAAGTCACTTAACCCCAATTGTCTAAAAATTAAAAAAATAAAAATACATAATGAGATTTTTTTTAAAGTGCATTAAACAACTACAAAAGAATGTGTTCTCCAACATCTGCAGGGGAAGGTTGATTCTGGTGAGTGTGATCTGTAAAAGCTTCATAGAGGCAGTGACATTTGAATTGGGCTTTTAGGGGTGGGTGGGAATTCAACAGATGTTGACTAGCAGGACAAGCACTCAAAGAGTAACTGTGTGAGCCCAGAGTTGCTCAATTTGATTGGCAGATAGGAATGTAGAGGGGAATAATATGAGATTAGACAGATAGTAGATTGATTGATTCATTGATAGAACATTTCTTAAATGTTTACTTTATATCAGGCAATGTGCTAAGATTAATATAAAAATGGAAAGGTGGATAGCTGCTGGATTGAATGCTAGTTTGAGGAGTTTGAATTTCATTCCTTTGACACTAGGGAGCCATTGAAAGTTCTTGACTCAATGCTGAGTGAAGTGCGTAGAACCAGGAGAACATTGTACACAGTAACAGAAACGTTGTGCAATGATCAACTACCATTAACTTACCTCTTCTCAGCAGTACGATGATCCAAGACAACTCCAAAAGACTCATGATGGAAAATGCTATCCGAGCCAGAAAAAGAACTACGGAGTCTGAATGCAGATCAAAGCACACTATTTTCACCTTCTTTTGTGTGTGTGTTTGTGTGTGTGTGCGTGTGTGTGTGTGTGTGTATGGCTTTTCCCTTTTTTCCTATTTCTTCTTTTCACAACGTATGTGGAAATATGTTTACATGATTGCACATGTATAACCTGTATCAGATTGCTTGCCATCTTGGGGTGGGGGGATTGGAGGGAAGGAGAGAGAAAAAAATTTGAAACTCAAAATCTTATAAAAAATTAATATTGAAAAGTATCTTTACGTGTAATTGGAAAAAAATAAAATTCCCTGACCTTTTGTTCTTCCAAATTATCATTGCTATTATTTTTTCTAACTCAGTAAGGTAGTTTTTTAGTAATTTAATTGGGATGGCAATGAATAAATAGGTTAGTTAGGTAAAATTGTCATTATAATTATTATTATTATTGGCTTTATCTACCCACGAACGATAAATATTACTTCAGTTATTTAGATCTTACCTTATTTGCATAAAATGTTTTATGTTTATGTTCCTGTAGTTCTGGTATCTGTCTTAGCAGGTATACTGTCAGGTGTTTTATGTTCTAGGTGGTTCTAAACAGTTAAAGGGAATGAAGGAGATCGCCATTCATTTGCAGCTTTAATTCTCTGTATTATTTAATTCTTTCTCCCTTCTCACCCTCAAAGTTATATGAAGAATCATTTAGTCTCCCTGAGTTTTTATTCCTTCTTCTCTTGGTTAAGAAGAACTCCTGTCCTTCCACTCTGTGGCTAAACTATGGATGTAAATCACTTTAACACTCTAGAACAGTGAAATGTTTTCACTGAGTTGTTTCAGTCATGTTCGGATTCATGACCCCTTTTGGGGTTTTCTTGGCAAAGATACTCAAGTAGTTTGTCATTTCCTTCTCCAGCTCATTTTACAGATGAGGAAAATTGAGGCAAACAGGGTTAAGTGATTTTTGCCCAGGGTCGTGCAGCTAGGAAGTGTCTGAAGCTGGATTTGAACTTAGGAAAATGAATCTTCCTGACTCCAGACAGGGCACTGGACCCACTGTGCCACCTGCCTGCCTCAGAAAGGTAAATTAGTCTTTAGCATTGGTAATCATTTAAGAGTATTCAAGTGATCTACATTTACCAGATCTTGTAGGAGCCCAATCTTCACCCCTTTTTATCACCTAAATGTACCTCTTCTTTTGCCAATGACTTCTCTCTTTTGATGGGGTCTTTACCTCCTTCTCTAGTTTACTGGAGAATTGAAAACTTGTCCTTAGGATGTAAGTGCACATAGCTTAGATTGAAGATACTTAACATTTAAAAAAAATTTTTTTTACGTGGCAATCTGGTGAAGCCTTCTCAACATAAAGAACACTTATCAATTAATTACGATATGTCAGCACTAAGTACTGGGGATACAAAGAAAAGCAAACTGAGGCCCAGAAAGGAGAAGCCACTTACCTGACAGGGACAGATGTCAGATTAGAACTCCAGGTTCTCCTGCCTTCTCAGGCTCCATTCCTTCCACTGTTTCACAAAGCTTCTCATTCAATTACTCAAGCTTAAATCTTGGTCAAACTTGCTGCTTTGATAAAGCAATACAACAGCCCTTTCAAACCACAAAGTCTGATTTCCTAGATAAGTGTTGGTTAAATTGACATATGATTTTCATGCTTAAATAGCAAGATAATCTGGTGTGATTGACCATAGAACAGCTTATTAGTGAGTAGAGCATTTTCTATGATGGTAGAAAGTCAATGGTTTATTTATATTTTTTTCCAGGACCATTAATTTTTTTTAAATAATATTTTATTTTTTCCCAATTACATGTTAAAACAATTTAACATTAAAAAAAGTTTTGAGTTCTAAATTCTATCCCCTACTTCCCTCCTTCCTCCCCCCCAGATGGTAAGCAATCTGATACAGTTTATACACGTGCAATCATGTAAAACATTTCCATATTAGTCATCTAATATGAGAAGACTCAAAATTTTTTTAAAAGAACGAAAGAAAGAAAAATAGTATGCTTTAGTCTATATTCAAATAAGATCAGTCCTTTTTCTGGAGGCGGATAGCATATTTCATCATTAGTCCTTTGAATCATTGTATTGCTGAAAATAACTAAGTCATTCACAATTCATCGTACAATATTGCTGTTACTGTGTACAACATTCTCCTGGTTCTGTTCACTTCACTTTGCATCGGTTCATGTAAGGTCTTTCCAGGTTTTGCTGACATCATCCTGGAAAGTCAATAGTTTTTTTTTAATTAATAATTTAATATGGGTCATAGTTTTTTTAAAAAATAATAATTTAACATGGGTGGTAGTTTTTTTAAGTATACTCACATTTTTGCATTGTCTGTACCTCACCTACATAATCCCTACATTCTTAAAGCTTATTCATTCATCTGTTTATTCTACAAACATTTATGGAGGGCCTACAACAGGTAAGGCACTCTGCTAAGTGCTGTGAAGGCTACAAAAATGTGGAAGATATGAAGAGAGAGTCTGGTGTAGTTGATAGAATGCTAGACTTGGAATCATGAAGACCTGGTTCACTTCCCATATGTGACACTTACCAGCCATGTGATGTAGACAAATCACTCTGAGCCTATTTCCTCAGCTGTAAGACAGAAGTAATAACGCCACCTTCTCAGGTTCCTTGTAACATTCAAATGACAACATGTATAAAGCACTACTATATTAGACTGTTGTTGTTGTGATAATGATGATGATGGTAATGATGACGGTGATGATGATGATGATACTTCCTACCGTCAGGTAATTTGCAGTCTGATAATATCAAAGGATCATTGATATAGAACCAGAAGGAGCCTCAGAGGCTGTCTACTCAGATCCCTTCATTTTTACAGATAAGAAAACTAAGGCCTAAAAGGGTTAAATAACTAGTACCAGTCATAGAGTTAGTAAGCTTTAGGGGTAGGATTTGTACTCAGGTTCCATGAACCCAAGTTCATCAGTTCTTCTACTGTCCCATGATCCTTCCGGTAGCTTGTGGTATAATGAAATAGGAGTAGCTAGATGGGTGGTCCATTAACAAATCCCATTACAAATAAATTTTAAGTGAGTGTCCAAATTCTTTTGTCACACTGGAATCCAATATCATCTTTAATAAGTTTTCCATAGCCCCAAAGAAGAGCTATGAGAAAATGCCTTCCCCTATTCTTTTTTTTTAATTTTTATTCTTTTTTTTAAAAATTTTTATATGAGGCAATGGGGTTAAGTGACTTGCCCGGGGTCACACAGCTAGTAAGTATCAAGTGTCTGGTCTGAGACAGAATTTGAACTCAGGTCCTCCTAACTCCAGGGCCGATCCTCTATCCACTGTGCCACCTAGCTGCCCCTAAAATTTTTTATTCATTTTAAACTTCAATATAAAACAAGAGAAGAAAAAAAAGAATATTTTCACGTACACAGCAGAATCTTCCCCCCATTCTTTGTAGAAGTGAGGGATTATACATGTGAGATGCTTCATATAATGTCAGACTTTGCACGGCTTGTTTATTCTTTGTTATAAGGCATGGCTCTCTAGGGTGTGGGGAGGAGGTGGGGACAGTGGTGAATATAGCAGGATATGACTGCAAAAAAAAAATGCCAAAAAAATATTTTAAGTGAGCCAGTGCTTGGAGATGTTTCATTTGGAGCTTTTGGGCTGTATATAACCATCTTTGTTCTGTAGTAATGCTGGGTTGGCTTAGCTCCTCTCTTTTCCTTACTTGGACAGATGCAGGTATGGGACACTGCTGGCCAGGAGCGATTCCGGACAATCACCCAAAGCTACTATAGAAATGCGAATGCTGCCATCATTGCCTACGACCTGACAAGGAGATCCACATTTGAATCTGTTCCTCACTGGATCCATGAAGTAGAAAAATACGGGGCAGCAAATTTGGTCATAATGCTTATTGGTACAGTATTTAAAAGGCATTTAACATCATCATCTCCTATCAGTAGTTTGGTTTTTTAACAGGTTAAATTTCATGGAGCATCAGGATAAGGACATCCTATTAAGCCAGTTAGTTACCCACCAGTATAAAATGACTTTTTGGTGTAATAGAAAGAGCTCATTGACATGAAATACTGAATCCATGTATGAGTGATTCAAAAGTATTTAAGCTCAAATAACTCTTCAGGAAATAAATTATTCCATTACTATAAAGTTAAAAAAAAAAGGGACAAGGACCCTTTTTTTTAATATGAAGGGCCACTGACCTAGAAGGAAAAAATAGGAAGCAACTGGACTTTGGGTAGCATTTTTAGTGAAATGCAAAATGTTAATGAGTAGGATCCTCTTTTTTTTTTTCAGATTAACAGGGAACATAGATAACAAATGCCAAAAATATAGTTTAATTCCATACTTTGCATGAGCAGATGAAAGAGACAGAGGCAGAGAAGATTCTAGGAATGAAAGGATAAGGGACAGAAGGAAAGAAAAAGCAAGAAGAAAAGAGAAAGAGAAGAAAGAAAAAAGAGGAATAAAGAGACAAAAAGGGAATAAAAGAGATAGGCACGGGGAGCAAAGGAAATATAGAGAAAGATTTTATAGACTGTGATGTGAATATATTGCTGTAGTAAGTTGCTATTGATGCATAGTTCTGGGCCCTTCAGAATAAGTTATTACTGCTCATAAATAACTAATTAGTTGATCAATCATTGTTAATAGACCTTAAATTGTTCTCATTCTTAAGTCTTTAGAGGCTCTGTTCTGGATGAGATGGTTACAGCTTCTCACCAGGAGGAAAATTACACCCTGGATTGAAATAGAAACAGCCATTTTGCCATACTTTCCTCCAATGAGTTTAAATTCAGGTCCCCCAAATCCTCAAGCAATTTATAATTAATTATTCAGAGCCCTCCTCCAGGCATACTTTCCCCAGGAATCCTTTCCTGACAACTGGCTCCTACAGATCTTTGTCCTTTCTGAATTATGTACTCATCTTCTACTTTGCCTAGAGACTCCTTTCTATTGTATCACATGTCTAACTCTGGGTTCTCCACCTATGCCATAAGCTGCTTCAGAGAGAGGACTGCCATTTTTGTGGCTCCCACGTGGCTTAGATCCTTGCCAAACACTCATTTTTTGGATCTGGGAGATTCTCCCAAGAAGTCAGAATTTTGGATTTGGAATCTACCTTCTTTAGTATATCCCGACCTTGTTTAATGAAACCAGGTTGCTCTCTGTATAGGAGAGAGCAATTAGCCTTTTTTAAAGTCTCTGAATGTGATTAAAGAGGATAATAAATTTGAAGAACAGAATTGATTCAATTCAGTACCCACTGAATTCAATATTTTTTTTATTTTCAATTTTTTATTATGAACAAGAAAATCATCAACAACCACTTACTAAGTATCTATGATTGCATTGAACTGTGGGCAGCCCTGAGGCTAAAGGATAGTAAGTAGCCACACAAGCTAGAAAGCCTGCAGCCCTGAGGCCTGCAAGAGATTTCTGCCTTCCCTTGAGGCCATGTCCGAAAATGCTAGTTTGACCTAACATTAGAGGAAATAAGGATTTCATTCGGTAAGAAAGATTGATGGAGCATATAGTGTGTGCAAGATATTGTGATGGATACAAAGGTTAAAAGATAATTCTTGTCCTGGAGAAGCCTATAATCTAATCCTAGAGTTGAGACAGAAAAAGAAAACAGGGCCTGCCACGAAGAAGAGTACATTCTGTGGAGTTATACAATAGGTATGCAGATAAGTAAATGTAAAATATATAGAAAGTAAATACAAAGTAATTTCTGGGAATGGGATGGGAGTGAGGAGTAGGACAGCATGTGCAAAGGTGGGAGATGCAATGTCATGTACAAGGAACAGCAAATAGGCTAGAACAGGGGTGGGGAACCTGCAGCCTCAAGACCACATGTGGCCCTCTAGGTCCTCAAGTGTGGCCCTTTGAATCTAAACTTCACAGAACAAATCCCCTTAATAGAAGGATTTGTTCTGTAAAACTTGAACTCAGTCAAAAGGCCGCACCTGAGGACCTAGAAGGCACCATGTGGCCTCGAGGCTGCAGGTTCCCCACCCCTGGGCTAGAACATCGAATATTATGAGAGGGAATCATGTGAAATCATTCTAGAAGAATAGGCAAGAGTCATACTATGAAGAGTTTTAAATGCCTAATAGAGGAATTTGCATTTTATTTTGGAAGAAATAAAAAGCAACCAAGACTTCTGAGTGGTTCTATGCTTTAGAAAAATCACTTTAGCCACTATATAGAGGACAGATTGGACAGGGGAAATATGGAAGCAGGGAGATGAAGAGTCTGTCCTCAAATGATAAATTAAATATTTTAAAACATATAAATCTATTGACCAATGTGCACTTATTAAGTAACTACTGTGTCCAAAAGAAACAGTCTGTTTTCTTACTGTATATATATATAATATTTAAGCTATTCTCAAGAATTAAATAAAAATAAACTGAAGATTCAGCTACATAGAATAAACTAACATGTTTGGAAATGCAGGCTATCCTACTTTTCACTAAAACAAATATGAGTTATTGTCATACTTTATATTTATAGGAACGAAAGCTTATTATTCAAGATGCTGTTTTTCCACTCTGAGGTACTTTGCCTTCAATTAATGTTTATTCTGGTCAGTACTGTATATCTTAAACTGCCTTGGTTATAGCCCCATGGTCCAAACACCCAAATTTTAGCCATAGGGACTCATAAAATGAGAAAGAAATAGCATTCTGGGTATAATCTGATTACTTTTTTCACTAAGCATTAACTGTATCATTTCTTGTTTCACCCTAATCTTGCACAATTCTTAATTAGAACTTTTTCCAATTCTAATCTTATGTAACGACTTGATTAAAATGTAACTTTGTAACTCATCTCACTTCTTTGGCTGTGAAGCTTTTTCCCTGGGACCATACATAGGGACTGAGGACAGCTTGTTCTGAAAAGCTCATGCATGTAATTTCTTACAAATGTGGTTATGGTCATGTTAAAAAATCATTGCTGTGGTCACCATCTTTCACAACCTGCTGCTGAAGCAATTCCCCACAAATGTAAGCTTCTGTCTCTTTTAGAACTCTTGCAGAAATCAAGAGAGAGAATATATATAATTAAATCTCCCCAATAGTATTATGAACCTCTGTGACTCTCTATAGGATTCTTAGCCACTTTAGTGTTTTAGGGAAAGTGAAATAGCACTTTTTCCCTTAATTTTTCATCCAGTGGTCACTAAGCAGCTAAAAGCTTATACAACTTTGTCTTCTGATATAGTCTTACTTCTGAAGAGTTGCAAAAAATATCAGTTTATACCAGGCAGTCACTAAGCATTTATTAAGCACCTGCTATGTGCCAGGAATTGTTCCAAGTTTAAGGGATACAAAGAAAGGCAAAAGATAGTCCTTGCAGGGGCAGCTAGATGGCACAATAGATAGAGTACCCACCCTGGATTCAGAAAGATCTGAGTTCAGATGTGACCTCAGACACTTGACACTTACTAGCTGTGTGACCCTGGGTTAAACTACTTTACCCCATTGCCTTGCCAAAAGAAAAAAAAGAAAGATAGTCCTTGCTCTCAAGGAGCTCATGAGAAGAAACCACACAAAACCAAATATCTACATATTGTACATAGATATGTACAGGGTAAATTGGAGATAATCAATAGAGTGAGGCAATTGCAACAAGGAAGAGCAAGAAAGACTTATTGTAGAAGGTGGGATTAGAGCTGAGGCTTGAAGGAAGCTAGGAGTGAGGTTGAAGAATATTATACTCATGGGGAGCAGAAACTCAGCCACAACTCCCAACCCTGGTCATGAGTCTAGGTGAAGGAAAGAGAAGAAGTAAGGGGAATATACAAGGGGGATAATTCCAACTCTACTAAGTTCAGTCTTTATGTAGTTTGACAGGTATGATCGAGGCCTCAATTTCTTCATTTGTAAAATGAAGGGGTTGGACTTGGAGACCTTCAAGGTCCCTTCCAGCTTTAAACCTATCATTTTATAATCACCTCTATGGGCCAGGACACATCTGGAATATGGGGATCCGTTCTGGGATCAGTACCGGGATCAGACCACATTTTAAGAAGAATACAAATGATGTAGTCATTAGTATGCAAAAAGCATGCATCTGGTATGTTGGCACACTTTGGGATGAACATTACCACACTGGCCCTGGGGAGAAAGGCTGCTGGTAAATTTTGCCTGAGTAGTAGATAAAGAATCTGAGTGAGGAAAATTTGCTTTCAAATCCTGCCACTGGCTGTGTGGTCCTGGGCAAGTCATTAAATGTTCCAAGCTAAAAGCGTCTTAAGCACAGAAATGACTAAGTAGGTGCCATGCTGGTAGGAGTTTCTTCACAGCAAGTTTCATTCACTCATTAAATCATGGTCCAGTCCAAAATTAAGAAGCTAGAAGTCACTCCAAGGAAGGCAACAAGATCTGGAGGTGACCACAGACCAAGCTATATGAGGACTGGTTGAAGGAACTAAAGGTGTTTAGTCTGGAGGAGAGAAGATTAGGAAAAAGATTAGATTTCTTCTATTAGGCTCCAGAGGATGGGTAGAAGTTATAGAGGGACAGATTAAGCCCCAGAGTAAAGGAAAAACAAATTAGAGGTGTGCAAAAGTAGAGTGGCAGCTAGATGGTGCAGTGGATGGAGCACTGGGCTTGGAATCAGGAAGATATCTTCATGAGTTCAAATCTGGCCTCAGACAATTCCTAGCTGTGTGACCCTGGGCAAATCACTTAACCCTGTTTGCCTCAGGTTCCTCATCTGTAAAATGAACTAGAGAAGGAAATGGCAAACTGCTCTAGTATCTTTGCCAAGAAAACCCCACAATGGGGTCATGAAGAGTCAGACACAACTGAAATGACTGAACAACAACAAAAAACACAGAGGGAGTGGATTCCTCTTTGATAGAAATCTTCAAGGGCAAGCTGGATGACCACTTCCCAGAGATACTGTAGAGTGGGATTCCTTCAGGCTCAGGTTGTACTAGACAGCTTCTGAGGTTCCTTCCAACCCTGAGATTCTGTGGTGGAAATGAAAAATGCCTCCCACCCCCAATCACATACTCTACTTCTCCCCTCCTTTAGCATGGATATACAAAAGTACACTGACTTTTTAAGATTTTTTTTTTAAAATAGTATTGTTAATGTATTAATGATAGTTGTCCAGATTCATTTTTCATTCTGCATCACTTTCTATAAAATTTCCATATTTGTTTATATTCTTCATATCTAATTTCTTACGGAGCAATAATATTGCATTGATATACTGTGACTGATTCAGCTAGTCCCCAATTATTTGATGTTTATGATATTAACTTATTTTCAGTAGAGTTGGTTTTTTTCTAGCCTACAGAACATTTTGTCGAGCTAAAGTGTTCTTTTAAAAATATGTCATTCTTTTTACTTATTTTTCGTTTTTGGTGAGGCAATTGAGGTTAAGTGACTTGCCCAGAGTCACACAGCTAGTAATGTCAAATGTCTGAGCTTAAATTTGAACTCATGGCCCCCTGACTCCAAGGCCTGAGCTCTATCCACTGCACCACCTAGCTGCCCCAAAATATGTCATTCTTTAAAATCAGGTTACACTACTCAGTATCCTGTTGCTTTGTCTTTAATTCCAGGAAACAAGGCTGACCTATGGGATAAACGTCATGTTCTTTTTGAAGATGCTTGCACTCTGGCAGAGAAACATGGCCTTCTCGCAGTTTTGGAGACTTCAGCTAAAGAGTCCAAGAACATTGAGGAAGTGTTCATGCTAATGGCAAGGGAGCTGATTGCCCGGAATGACCTGAACTTTTATGGGGAGGGTCCACAGAACAATTTCCTCTTGGATTCCAGTCCAATTCTCATAACTTCAAGTCCAAGTTCAAAGAACCGCTGCAATTGTTAAAAGGGGGAGGAACTAAGGAGGAGATAGAGTGTGCTGTTATAGAGGCAATCTCTGAAACCCAAATTAGTCAGAAATCTGGTTATCCAGTATGTTAGGTTTTAGAACTTGGAGTAGATATTCTGTTATTCCCTTTCAGTTACTCAAGGCTTCCTTCCAGCATGCATGGTTGCCACTTTTGTCCTACTATATCAACAAAGAGAAACCTCTTGAGGCCATCTCCAGTGACTGAAGGAAGTTCGATTTCATACAAGTATTTATTGCGGCTCTTCTATGTTCCAGGCATGGTGCTAGGTGCTGGGAACAGTAAGACAAAACTGAAATGGGTTCTGCCTTCAAGAAGTTTACATTCTACCAAGAAAGGCTCCCTTTTAAAGTCAGTAGGAGCTTTGAAGGAAATTAAGGAGTCTAAGGGGCAGAAGCCCTTTTTTCCTTAGTCTTACTATTAAAATGAAGTTTAGTATTGGGGTAGGAAGCATGGATAAAAGTTCCCCTTCATTAGCCCTGGCCAAAGCCAGGATCTGGCTTTTGGCCGCAGTGTTTTCGTTCAGTGTTGAAGAAAAGGAAGGGCCTACAAAAGTTGGGAGAAAAGTGAACAGAATATCAAGAAAAAGGAAAGGATAGAAAGCATGTTCTAGAGTGGCTTGTATCCACTCACAAGTTGGGTTTGGGTTTTTGTTTTTGTTTTTTAAATTTTTTAGGAGGAGAATAGGGAATTTGAGTATAGTGAAATTGAAGACATAAAATAGCACAACCTTGCTTCACATTTGTTCTCCTCATACTCATCGAATTCAAAAAATGATAAAACCATCAGTACCTGGCCTCTGGAATTGAAGCTCTTCTTAGCATATTTAATTAGTTTCATTTCATTGGGCTTTTTTCTGTTTATATCATTGTAGTCTGTTGCCCGCAACTGTTCACACCGAACAGAAAGGGGTGAAATAAGACATGAAGTGGGACCAGGTGGAGCAGAAAACTGACTCAGTTTATTTTTCTGAGGGTACAGGATATATAGAGAAAATCCATCCTAACTTCAAATAGCCCTCCCCGTGAGACACTCCCAAAACATCTGCTGAGGATATGATAACATACATTTCCTCCTTATCAGAGTTCCTAGATAGAGTTGTAAATTCCAGGGCTTTTTCCTGGCGCCTGTATAGAGGAGTGAATATGTAAATCTAAGGTTCAAAGAGTGAGAAGGAATGTCTCAGGAACCTCCTAACAGGGAGAGATTGGAGAGCAATTATTGAGCCCTTTTGGGTAAAAGCCTGGGCAAAGGTCAAACTCTGTCCTGGATCTTAAACCCATATCAGATTCCGAAGATCAGCCCTCTACAGTAGTCATTGTTTTCCTGATCTTGCTTACTTCAGTCTTCTTCATTTTATAGGTTTTCTCATAATTTTTCATAGTCCTCTTATGGGCCAGTAATATTCACTACATTGATGTTACCACAACTTGATTAGTCATGCTCCAATCAATGGGCACCTGCCATATTTACAGTTTTTTTGCTCCCAGAAAAAAGTGCTGCTGTAAATATTTTTGTACATCTATGACTTTTCTTTCTGCCTTTGAGCTCTTTGGGACTGGCATATTCTCAGCAGTGACATTAAAAAAAAACACCCATGCACACATACACACACACACACACACAATTCTGTACTGCATCTTTTTTTTTTTTTGGTTGGGCAATAGGGGTTAACTGACTTGCCCAGGGTCACACAGCTAGTAAGAGTTATGTGTCTGAGGCCGTATTTGAACTCAGGTCCTCCTGAATCCAGGGCCGGTGCCCTATCCACTGCACCACCTAGCTGCCCCCATCTTTTTTTTATACATTTAATTTTTATTTAACTTTTTCTCAATTGCATGTGATCAAAATTTTTTTAACATTTAAAAAAAATTTGAGTTCTATATTCTCTCCTTCCCTCTTTCCCTTATTCTCTCCTTGAGAAGGCAAGAAATTGGATGTAATTATATATGTATAGTCATTTTAGCACACCTTCTAATAAAACTTAAAATATTTTAGTTGAGAGATGTTCACTGTTTTTTCTCATGCTGCCCGGGTGGTATATTTTGGTTTGATATCTTCTAGAAAATAGAAGAGGAACATAATGGAAAACAAGAGAAATTTATTTTTCTCTAGATTTTCAAAGGCTTATCTACAACATACCAAATTCCAGTTAGTTTGAACTGATACAATATTGGCTGATGGGGGGCGGAGAGTGTTGTTCCCAAACCCATGACTAATGCTCTTGATCCCTTAGAAACCAGTACTGGTTGAAGGCCTAATGTTTACACATACCTAAAAGGAGAGAGAGCAGAGTTTCAAATCATTTCCTTTTATAGATATATAACCTGAACAAGATTGAAATTAGCACACACTGGCCCTTTCAGTAAATTCACTTCTTAGTCCAGTGGTGTGCCCAAGCACAGCCACAGTATAAGAAATAACTAAGGGCCAGGGAGGTATAACATAAATGTCCATCTGTTCTCTGTTTCCCACTGCCTTCCTATTGGGTCAGCATACCTGTGGAGACTGCAGAACACCTAAGACAGGTAAGACCATCAGTAGAAAGAACACAAGATTTGTAGTAAGAGGACTTGGTTTTGAATCACATTTTTGTTATTCTCTGCCTAGGTGACCTTGGGTAAGTCAACCTAGTAGAGCCCTGATTTAGTCATCTGTAAAATGAAGGAGTTGGACTACCTTACCATCAAGGTCCCTTTCAAATCTAATTAGAGGCAACTTAGTGTCACAGATAGAGCTCTAGACCTGCAATCAGGAAGACTATAGATCAAATATGAATGAATGTAGTAAAAAAGTATTAAGGGCTGACTATGTTCAGGCGCTATGGTAGATACTAATGATACAAATACAAAAGCAAGACAGTCCTTGCCCTCAAGGAGCTTATGTTCTAATAGACAAAAAACAAATACACAGAGGGCAGTGGAGTTTAAGTCACTAGGTTGGTGAGTAGAATCTTAAAGTAATTGATCAAGACATCCTTTCCAGGAATGGCAATATTCATTTGATTTTTTGTTCCCAGAGCAAGAGGTAGAAACCTAGATATGATGAACTCTCACCAATCAGGAGTATAAGAGGGTGGAGTACAACACCATGGCAAGAAGATGGCCTGTCATAGACCAACATCTTATACCATGTACCAAAATAAGGTCAAAATTTAGACATAGAGGGTGAAACTATAAACAAATTAGGAGAGCAAGGAATAGTTTGCCTGTCAGATCTATGGAGAACAGAAGAATTTATAACCAAATAAGAGGTAGAGAATATTATGAAATGCAAAATGGATAATTTTTATTACATTAAATTAAAACGTTTTGCACAAACAAAACCAATGGAACCAAGATTAGAAGGGAAGCAGAAACAATTTTTACAGCAAGTGTCTCTGATAAAGGCCTCACCTCTAAAATATTTAGAGAACTGAGTCAAATTTATAAGAATACAAATCATTCCCCAATTAATAAATGGTCAAAGGATATGAACACACAGTTTTCAGATGAAGAAATTAAAGCTGTCTGTAACCATATGAAAAAATGTTCTAAATCACTATTGATTAGAGAAATGCAAATTAAAACAACTCTGAGGTTGTCCACTTCACACCTATCAGATTGGCTAACATGACAAAACAGGAAAATGATAAATGCTGGAGAAGATGTGGGGAAATTGGAACACTAACACATTGCTGGTGGAGTTGTGAACTGATCCAACCATCCTGGAGAGCAGTTTGGAACTATATCCAAAGGGCTATAAAACTGTGCATACCCTTTGATCCAGCAATACCACTACTAGGTCTGTATCCCAAAGAGATCATAAAAATGGGAAAAGGACCCACATGTACAATAATATTTATAATAGCTCTTTTTGTGGTGGCAAAGAATTGGAAATTGAGGGGATGCCCATCATTTGGGGAATGTCTGAACAAGTTGTGGTATGTAAATATAATGGAATACTACTACTGTTCCATAAGAAATGATGAGTTGGCAGATTTCAGAAAAACCTGGAAAGACTTGCATGAGCTGATGCTGAGTGGAATGAGCAGAACCAGGAGAACATTGTACACAAGTAATAGTCACATTGTGTGATGACCGACCATGATAGACTTAGCTCTTCTCAACAATGCAATGATCTAAGTGAATTCCAAAAGATTTGTGATGGAAAATGCTGTCCACATCCAGAGAAAGAACTATGGAGTGTGAATGCAGATCAAAGCATACTATTTCCTCTATTTTTTTCTTTCTTATGGTTTTCCCCTTTTGTTCTGATTCTTCTTTCACAACAAGACTAATGTGGAAATATGTTTAATATGATTGTACATATATAGCCTATATCAGATTGCAGGCCTTCTTGGGGAAGGTGGGGGGGGGAATAATTTAGAACTCAAAATCTTATAAAAGTGAATGTTGAAAACTAAAAATAAATAAATAAATGAATAAATAAAAATTTTAAATGTAAAAAAAAAAAGAAGAAGAAGGCGGCTTGAGTATAAATCTTAGTTCAGACATTTCATAGCTATATGATCACTAGAAAATCACTTAACTTCTCTGGCCCTCAGTTTCCCGAAAGTGGTGATAATACCTGTAGCCACCTACTTCCCAGGATTGTGACACTCAAATGAGATACCATATGACCTTTCAATTGGTACATAAATGCCAGTCATTATAACTTTAAGTGCAAGTGTCAGGATCTGGTCTGTACTTTAAGAAGGCAGAGGATGAAGATACGTTGAATTGTTTAAATTTCCCAGAGACATTAAAAAACAAAACAAAACAAAATAAGATAGGCTCTACTTTGGAATAGCTAAGGAGGAAGGAATCCTATGCTGGAGTAAGATAATAATAAGCAAGATGAAGTAGGAAGGCTCTCTAACTAGGGTTAGAAATAGACTAAAAGAATTCGGCTAATCAAGAGACATTCCATAGTGATGCCCATTTATTTCAAGTTCTTTGATGTTGATGATAAAGCACTTTTTGCCCCTGGGAAGAAGGGAGGAGAGGAAATCACTCCTTAAACATGACTAACATGGAAGTTTAAAAAAAAGTGCCAGCCCAAGTAGTCTATAGGGGAACCAAACAAAAAAGTTAGTTTGCCCTGTGGATTTTTCCAGGGGTGGAGGAAACTTCCTTTTAAGCTGAAGTTTTTGTTTTTTTAAAGTATTCTCCAGGGGTGCTTCCACACTTTCATTCAATCACAGAATTTTAGAATTGGAATGGACCTCAGTATCACATAGTATAAACCATACAGGAAAAAGAATCTACTCTAAAAAGAATCTAATCTAACTCCTTATGTGGTACAGTGGAAAGAGTGGTGGTTCTTCAGTCAAAATACTTGGGTTTGAATCCCACCTCTGGTTCTTACTTCCTGTGTGACCTTAGGTAAGTCACTTACCATCATCTCTGAGCCTCAGTTTCATCATCTATAAAATATGGAGTTGTATTGATGATCTTCCATCTACCCTGTATATAACTGGAGTTGGGGGAAAGAGTCTATTGAGTAAATCAGTCAAATCACCGTGCCCTATTTAGAGTAAGCATCAAGGTACTAAAGCCTTGATACTTTAACTAAGTGAGACTACTTGTCTATTGAATCAACCAATCATAGACTATATAAAGTATAAAACAGTCTTTGATCAACTGTAATGATTGTACAGGAGATGGATTGGGATTACCTATGAAAAGTTGCTCATGGGAGTTCTGCTTCCAGGAGCCAAGATGGAGTAAGAAGTAATTTGCTCTCACCATCCCTTATTAACCTCTGAAAGCTCAGAAAATATCATACGAGGAAAAATCCTGAAACAGCTGAACCAGCAGAAAGACAGGGTGTAGCAGTCCAGCAGCCCATGAAGCTTGAGGGATTAACAGGAAAGACCCCTCTTGCCCTGGGGGGAAGGGGAGCAGTTATAGAATAGGAGACATCCCAGCAAGCTAGCGGAAAGCCCCACCTCAGCATACCAGGGAGAGATCCTGAACCCCAGGTGGTGGAGCAGGCAAACACCAACACCAGGCTGCCCCAGTGCCTCAGTATGAGCAGGGGCACCAGTGGAAACCAGCTCAGAAAACCACCTTGAAAAACCACTGCACGCCATGGTGTTCTATGGCAGCCAAGATTCCCAGTGCCTCAGGAAGACTCTAGGAAACACAGCTCCAAGGGGGAAAGCCCCAGACAGAGAAACATCCCATGGTAGTGAAACATCAATCTGAAAGT